AAAACTTCTCTAAGCTCCTTGAATTCATTATTCACGATCATATTTCGCATTACATTAAACTTCATCCCAACCAGCATGGCTTCACCAAATCCAAATCCACAGCCACTAATCTGGTATCCTTCCTAGATATTATGACCCTTGTTGTCTGCAGTCAGCATCAGGCTGATGCTATCTACTTTGATTTTTCTAGTGCCTTTGACCTCGTGCCCATACTTTGCTCGTGCATAAGTTCAGCTCCCTTGGATTTTCTGATGGATAACTTAACTGGCTTGGCAGTTACCTAGCTAACAGGGGATCTCGGGTCCGTGTGTCTAATTATCTCTCCCGGCCTCTTAGAGTTACTTCCGGGATGCCGCAAGGCTCTGTCCTGGGGCCCCTTCTTTTTAATGTATTCATTAATGACCTCTGTAACTCGATAAGACATTCCCATTTTCTAATCTTTGCTGATGATCTCAAAATTTTTCGCATCATAGACACTCCGCAGGATTGCCTCTTACTTCCAAATGACATTCATCATATCAGTGACTGGTGCTGTGCCAACTCCATGAGTATTAATATAAACGAAACGCGTGTCATGTCGTACTCAAGGAAGACTAATGTCCTGCTCTATGGGTATCAGCTTTGTCGTACTCCTATTACACGCACCAGTTGCGTTAAGGACCTAGGTGTTTTCTTTGACTCTAAATTATATTTTCACAATCATGTTGATTTTTTATATTCCGAATGTATAAAGCTGCTAGGTCTTATACGCTCAATAACTTTTAGATTTTCTTCTCTTGACTGTTTATATGTGCTGTATCTTACACTAGTCAGGTCCAAGTTGGAATATGCCTCGGTAGCTTGGAATTCTATCACGTCTACTGACTCCGCAAAACTTGAGCGCATCCAGAAAAAGTTTGCATCTGTCTGTTTCTACCGCTACTTCCCACATAGCTCCTATAGTTATACATCTGCCTTAGAGAGACTAAGATTGCACCCTCTAAGTCTGCGTAGACATCTTCTTGATGCACTCTTCTTCATTCAGGTTTATCGTGGCCTTAAATCCTGCTCCTCCCTTCTGGATAATGCTAGTCTTCGTATTCCTACTTGCCATGTTCGAGACTTCTCTACTTTTAGCGTTCGTCCCTCAAAAAGACACTGTCCCTCCTCTCGGTGCGCCCTTGCTACCAACGTGGTGGGTAAAGATCTCGACATATTTGCACACGGAGCGGTTTCTCTGAATCATATTTTACAAGCATGTACCAAACATTTTACGGTGTTACTGGATTAGTGTTCTCATTAACTACAAACTCGGCTAAATTTAATTTTCTTATGTAATTGGTATTAATTTATTATACTTGTTATTAATTTTATGCTATCACTCCCAGTTGTCTTATCTTATTATCTAGTTGCTAATAGTATTAGCAACATTCATAATAATTCATAATTCATAAACGTATGTATATATTTAAGCCTTCTTTAGATTTATGCTCACTGATTTATTTCTATCATATTTGTATTGTGTTTAATTATTTTTCTGTATCTTTATATACTCGTGCTAACTTTGTAATTGCCGGTCACGGTAGCCGAGCGGTCTAAGGCATCTTTGATCGCTCGGAAGCCGGGATCGTGGATTCGAATCCCACTCAGGGCATGGATGTTAGTTTGTGTGTGTGCGTTTTTTTTGTGTCTACGTACAGGTAGAAGCCTTGCGACGAGCTGATCGCCAGTCCAAGGAGTCCTACCTAATGTGAAAGATCTAGAAAAACCGAAGTGAATGGAGAAGTTCATGGAGGTAGGCCTAGGCCCACTGGGGCTGTAGTGCCAAGGAAAAAAAAGAATTTGTAATTGGCCACTGTGCTGTTAAGTTATTGCACGTAAATAAACATGAATTGAATTGAACTATAATCTCCACTAATAGTAACATTTAGCATGTCAGGAAAAGTGCGCGCAAAGTAACAGCCATGGCTCTTTCGCTCCGTTTTGTTACGCTGCAAGACCCAAAGGAGACACGACAGAAAGTGTACTTTATTTCTGTCTACATTTTTTTTTCAAATAACTTTTCTCTGAGATAAGCATTTAGAGATTTACACACAAATTAAATTCGAGATACACTCAGAAATTGGCGTATGTCTATAAGTCTATAAATTGTCCGTTATTTTTGACCGCTTTTAACCAAAATTGGAATAAGTTGATACAGTTTTGTTAAACTCATAGCATAAAATTGCGTAAAAATCCGTTCACTGTTTCTCAAGTTATTTCATAAGAAAAAAACGAAGGGACAGACAGAGAGATTTTAATATACAGGGATCAGTTCCGTTGTCACACATAGTACGTATACTAAATGTAAAGAAGCTATAGGAAAAAACGAATCGTTTAAGCTACTGCCAACCTGACGGGTGAAGACGGTAGACGAATCACTTGGGACAAGTTGTGTGGGTTTGTAGCATGTATATTCAGATGTGTGCCAGAGAAAATTGAACAACAAACTCTATAACTTCATAGATTTTAGAGTCCTGGTTGAGAAACGACAAGTCGCTCAGCTTCTCAAGAATTTCCAAATTTTTTTATGGGATGCAAAGCTTCATAAATGTCTTAAAAATCTTCCATTGGTCCGTATCCAGAGTCGTATTAATCACACAATTCTATTTCTCTAACATATATTTTATTATTTTGTGACCAGCCCTTTTTAGAAGCTGTTTTTTATATTTACCTTCTAACTGCTTTGATGTATTCCGCTTCACCATCATTTTGGGCGTGGATCTGTATACCCATTGCTGTCTCTGGTAACAGAATATACATCAGTATCATTAATGTACAAAACTACTGTTCTGGAAATTACCCGTTTCGTTGGTTGCTTCAATATGAATTTAATTTATATGTCTTTATTTCTAGCTATATTTTACTTGCCTGAATTTAATTATTAATTATTCTGTATAATTCGTTTTGAACCATATATTGAATTTGTTATTTGGGTTAAATAGCTAGACATTTTTACGGGAAGAAATAATCCTAAGATTTTGTAACTCAGAGGTTTGAAATTTGTATCTCTTTCAGATATGAGGTACGAGGGAGTACGTGTTCCTACTCAGTTTGTCCCTTTTTATGGAGATATTTCGAGGTCAAGAGAGTGCGACATAGCTGAATACTGACCTGCCTAACAAACGCGAATTAAGATCCAGATTGAAGAATTATGTCTTTCTGGATGTTGCACTGTACATATTTTGTGTAAACCGATGTTTCGGAGGAACGTATTGCCTCCATCTTCATGGTAGAAAAATCCGCGAGCGAGGAACTAGCGTGAGCAGGTGGCTAGAGAGGGAGGTTATATCTATACGGTGCCACATCCCAGAAGACGGCATTCTCCATAGTCACCGCCATGATAACCTCAAATATTACCAGATCCAGATTACTTCCGCCTCAGAAAACGAATCCGGAACCCAATGAGAACTGCCCTGTCACAGTTCTGTCTGGAAGTCGCGTCGTTACGGTTGAAGTCTCTTACAGGCATGTCAATGTGTCCGATTTACGAGTAAATCTTGAGAAGGGCCGCGCTATAGCTCAAGCGGTTGGTCGCTGGCTTCCCACCGCAGCGGCCAGAATTCGATCCCGGGTCTGGTCAAGTGGGATTTGTGGTGTAAAAGTGGCGCTGGGGCAGGTTTTCTCCGAGTACTTCGGTTTCACCTGCCAATCTTCATTCCACCAATTGCTCCACAAACACCCTTACCTATCATCTGGGGCTGGTACATTAGGCCAGAAGTGGCCGCAGTACAAGGGACTTAGTCCCACTCCACTAGCAATAGAAAATTCTTGAGAATCTGTTGGTAATCCTGTGGGTTTGACAGCCTGGCTTTTAAGATAATTCAGTACCATCACTGGCTAGGGATATGTAGCGGTAACATTCTGGACTTGAATTCGCGGGATTCTCTGCTCGAACCTTGGAGAGGACACTAACTCCCCTGACTGAGGCGTTTTTGTAGAGTTCTTCTGTCCCTCCTGATACATTTCTTTTTAGTGCCTCGGTTAGCAGACAACCAGTTACTTCCAGACACTTTCCAATTCAGCCGCTCTTCAAACATCCCACCATTAAACGCTATATAGCCTACAAAGTCTAGATGCTGACAGCTTCGTAGAATGCACAATATACCGAAACTTTTAAAGAGATGGTAATAGAAAAGTGAAAAGGCCTCTTTCTAATATTAAAAATTAAGAATACTTTTGTATGGAAAAAAACGTCTGAACTGAATATATATATTTATGCATACACATAGGTAAATTCTACACAATATATACGAGTTACAATTTTTATGTTTTTGGATATTATACATCGTCCTGTCTATTTTATAAAAAATAAAATCCTGTTTATTTTTCAAAACACAACGTTTCGCGGATTGGAGTCTGTCCCCGCCCTCAGGTAAGACCTACTCAGTTGGGTCCAATAGATAGAGCTAGTTCCTATCTCCAGGAACAGACCCATCTGAGTAGGTTTTACCTGAGGACGGGAACAGACTCTAGTCCCCGAAACGTTGTTTTGAAAAATAAACAGGACTTTATTTTTTTAGAAAATAGACAGGACGATGGATAATGTCCAAAATATAATACTTGTAGCAATGTATCATAGTCACAAACTTTTAGATCTTATTAACTCAGATCCATAGAGCCATCAAGTTTAGCCATTTAAAATAATTACTCCTTCACTCCTTATATTTTGAGTCTGGACGAAGATCTGTACAGATACAATCTTCACAGCAGATATTTACCACATATAATGTCCAGGGTACACATTGTGACGTAGGAAGTGATGTCCACATAGGGCTCTCCGACCTGTGCTTCAAGTTTCTTGACCAGAATCTGGCTGTTGTAATTGAAAACTTTTACGTATTCTTCAAGTATCTTGAAGTGAAAAGCCGGTGTAAGGAACTTGCGATGTTCATGCCACTTGTTGCCTGGGAAATAAATGAGTATTGAAAGAAGTTAGAAAAATACGTGGCCCTAATTGATCGTTCAAGAAAGAGACGATGCGTCCATTGCAATTCACTCACTCATGGGATGGAACGGATTGGATTGATCTGGCTCAGGATAGGAACCAGTGGAGGGCTCTTGTGAACACGGTAACGAATATTCGGGTTCCATAAATTTCAGGGAAGTTCTTGAGTAGCTCACACAATTGGCGGCTTCTCAGGAAGGGCTCAGCTCCATGGGTCCACTACAATTAGCCAAGAAAATATTAACTTCATTTTAATTCTGAGGTAAAAGATACCTGACCCAAGACAATAAGGACTTACATGAATATGCAAATAAATATCAAGAAGGGCAAATTAATGGATTTTAAAAATGAAAGAAACTGTTAGGGGAATATGAAGCTAGTTCAGCTTTGTGCTTCCTTTCTGTTCATTGCCTGCATTAAATATCTTCGTTACTGAATATTGAGGCATTACATTTCTCCGAAACGTCCGTGATCTCGTATCAGACCCAATTTTATCACAACCTAATATACAGTGCTGTTCATAATAACATGAAGTCCAACTATTGCACCAGTCGACTGACTGCATAGAGACGAGTGCTTGAGAACGTAATATTCGGTTTTCCAGTTAAGAAATTCCCTGCCCTTTATTGAATCCGAAGGTTCATGCATCACAAGAACTAGCCACTGGTCACGGTCCGGAGCCAAATGAATCCAGTCATAAGGCGCTACCCTATTCATTTAAGATCTATTAAAATAGAACCCTCTTCTCTATGAATATGACTTCTGAATTAGTACTTTCCATTCTGGTTTCTTGACCAAATCTCTATCTACCTGTCTCATACTTCCCACAAATAATACACGTTCTACATTTTTCGTCCTCTTTCTTCTTATCATCCAAATAATCCAATACTTGCTGAAGACATGCAACGTTCTCTAGTTCTTGATAATCCCTCACGTTTAGCTCCAACTATTTTCCTTAGCACCCACCTTGTTCCCAGACGTTCCTAATTGACGTTCCTGCTCTAACGCGAGAAACCAAATTGATAATTTCTTAGAGCTAGGGATATTTAAAGAGCTAATCTCTGTTTCATAGACAATTTCTGCTTCGGAGCTCTTTTGTTCTCTGAAGAACTTGTCGGTTTCCCAGAAAATAAAACAAATATCCTTCTATATAACGCGCGCTTGTGTGCGTGTGTAATTAATTTTTTTTAATTCGCTTAGTGGGGGATGGAATCCAACTGGGTCCACTCGGCACAGCGGCCACTGATTGGTCTATGTAGCCTACCCCGGGTGATTATGATGATGGAGAATTTGTTGGAATGAGGACTGGCAGCGAAAACCGAAGTATTCGGAGAAAACCCGCTCAGCACCACGTTGTCCACCACAAATCCCACTTAACCAGACACGGGATCGAACCAGGGCCGCCAAGTTGTGAAGCCAGCGACTAACCGCTTGAGCTATGGCACGGCGGTGTATATATATATATTGTAATTGAAAAATTTCTCATTGTGATCACACAATTTCATGTTACTATACAAAGCTATGTTAATCGTCAAAATGTAAATTATATAGCAGGCCAGGAACAAGCGAGCAGTTCTTCATTTCAGTGTATACTGTTCTGTATCAGAATTATTTACATGTGCATGTGTGAAGTTTAGCGTGACACACGGTGAATGTTGGTCGGGAGAGGGAGCTTCAGTTATGTTCCAGGTATCTCTCAGTAACATGACAGGAACATGGGATAAATCAGAGTAAGTTAATATTGTAGTACGAAACACATTTCTCTCTTTCGGTTAGGCTTATAGCCTGTTTCTTGGAGAAGAGTCAGATCAGCGCATTTTGCGGCTTTCTAGACCTCCTATTCCTTTTGGTATATTATTTCTTAAAACTCTTATGAGTACATTTTGTCTTCTGTCATTCTTGATATGTAACTATCCCATTCCTTCCACCGTTTTAAAAACCATTTTCCTATTGGCTGCATTTCGCATTGCTGTCCAATATCCTGGTTAGTAACTCGATCTAATCCTGTTTATCTCACTGCCTTTCTTCAAGTGTTCAACCCCGTGGTTTCTAATAGTTGTTTTGTTTTAGAAGTATTTTTGTGTCACGAGAGAATATGTAACGATTTATCTTATAACTCATTTGTAAATTCTTAATTTACTTTCTAATCTTAGATATTTGTCCCACCAAATGTACAACATATTGTATAATAAATGACGACTCTTCCCGTTGAAATCCAGCGGGTGTTACATTGCTCTGTTTACGTTAATCTGCAATTAGAGTAAAATGAGATGGAGCATGAAATTAAATGAATTTGTTGGTTTGAACTGATGCTTATTGTGAGCAGCCTTCTTAACAGGTTATAACTTCTGTAATTTATTTGTGTCCTCTTTCTGAAACGTCATTTTACTGGGAGGTTATGAACTTATGTCTGCTTTATTCAAGTGACTGTGATGTCTTCTGTAGGTAGTGACCTCGCAACGGGCCGATCCCCCGTCCAAGCAGTCTTACCAACTGTCCATAATAGTCATATTTTTCAAACTATGAAATAGACCAGAGGACCTAATTCGTCAACGGAAGAAGACGAACTTTATTCATGAGCGGAAGCAGACTTAGGTTAAGTAAGACTGTGTAGAGCACGATCTTCTGAGTTGTAAATCCGTGCAGTTCAATATAAATATACCGAAATTTCAGAGGAACTAATGCCGTCATCTTCACAGTCGAATAATAAACAAAGAAAGAAATCAAAAGCTCTACATTCCTTCTTGACTTACTATTCATCTCGAGGCCGCGCCATAGCTCAAGCGGTTAGTCGCTGGCTTCCAACCGCCGCGGCCCGGGTTCGAACCCGGGTCTGGTCAAGTGGGATTTGTGGTGGAAAAAAGTGGCGCTGTGGCAGGTTCTCTCCGAGTACTTCGGTTTCCCCTGCCAATCTTTATTCCTCCAATTGCTCCACAATCACCCTCACCTATCATCTGGGGCTGGTACAATAGGCCAGAAGTGGCCGCAGTACAAGGGACTTAGTCCCGCCCCACTACCAACAAAAAAAATAATAATACCGTATTTACGCATGTATAGGCCGCACATTTTTTGCCAAAAATTCAAGAGGAAAACTGGGGTGCGGCTTATATTCGAAATATTCGAAATCACACTTCGTTTAAAAAAAAATATATTCGTAATTAATAATAAAAATTTCTACTCCTGAAATAATATTCCCAGAAAATTATTTTTTCTATAATTTCTGTCTGAAAATTGTGCTGATGCCTATACACGCACGCGGCCTATACATGCGTAAATACGGTACTCTTCCACTCTTAAAATGGAGGAGACAAATTTCTCCGAAATTTCTGAGATATGTTCTTCATAATCCACCTTGATCCAATCAAGGTCCAATAAGTGTTAAATTGAATCCCCAGTAGCGTGACCCTCGTTCAGAGGTACTTCCCCGCCCTTATTCAGTTAGAAGCCATTGCTATATGGTTCCTTGTTCACATTTTCTTAATGCATACACCGAATGTACGTGGACACAGCCGTTTGGTAAAGTCCGCGCGCACCTAAAGTGGCAAGCCACGGTCCTTAACATATGGCTCCTCAGAAAAATTGGCTTATGTTTGCACGTGAAGAAAACATTTGCGGTGTTACACATGCGAAATATGCAAGAATCTCGGGAGAACGAGTGTATCGTTGGTGTACGAGAGTCCAGGTGACACATTATGTACCTTTTACATAAACATAGAATTAACTAGTAAGTTATAATTCCTTCTCAAACATACAAGCAGATTTTTAGCGAGGTTAAAAATAGTATTGATGTATTGATGTAAAGGTCTCTCTCTGATGATGCTCTCTGAAGACCGTAACATGTAAAGGCATAAATAATTCAAATAAGAAAGATCTTCACCAGTCACACTGGACGGAAATATTTAACTTTTCATGATGGTATACTGACTTACCGGCACTAGTAAGCAAGCCATTTCCCAGCCACGCTCTTAGCAGATTATAGTCCAGGCTCTTCGTAATGTGGCTCGGGCTACTCAGGATAACCTAAGAACCCGGATTTTAATATACATTTATTTATCAGTAGGTTCTCAGTTTGGCCATTGTTTAAAAGTTTCTGTCACTGAATGTATGAACTTCTTATGGCTGATAATATAAGGGAGGGGTGGTAATCCCAATTTTGGCAAAGTTAATTTTGTTAGACTAAGGTGACCGCCTCTGTGGTCTAGTAGTCAGAGTTCCTGGCTACAGATTCAGAGGTCTCGGGTTCGATTCCCAGCACTACAAGATTTTCTGATAAGTAGTGCATCTGGAACGGGGTCCACTCAGCCTCGCGACGATAATTGATTAGCTACTTGAATGGAAAAGTGGCGGCTCCGGTCTAGAAAACCGAAATTAACGGCCGTGGAGATTCTTTGCGCTGACGACGGTGAGGTTGTCAGCCATGTAAACAAGACAATAATGACACTGGGATCACGTGCTTTAGAATTCCAAGGGGAAGTGGTGCAGGAAGAGTAGTTTGTGTAAATGTTGCAGCTTCAGTAATCATGATGAAATGGCCCTTGAATTAATTTTCTTTCTATGTTTCAAATACTTCAAACACAGTCTATTATGCAGACGGAAGGAATTTTTATGCTAGGATTTGGTATGTCGAGGCATGAAGGAATTCCAAAAGCGGCATTCAGTTTGTTGAACTTCAAAGCTTGCGGGTAGACCATGGTCAGTTCTCAGGCCGGAGGACATCGATTTGATAAAGAACGCACTTCAGCTCTGCGACATTTTTGTTAGCATTATAAATTTCAAACACGACATTTCAACGAAGTTTGCTATGAGTGGGATTACAAAATACGGTTTCTCCTTCATCACTTCCCCCGCCAGGTCAGCACATTCTGAAGTTTCCGATAACAGTGGAGGAACCTGGCCATACAATAAAGGAGCACGTTATGATTTATATACTCATATAAATGACGTGTTCTACGACTTACCTCAATATCTTCCGGATCTGTGATGAACACTTCAGGAAATCCCAGCACCCATAGGCGAAATGTCGGGGCATATTCTTTGTACAGGCGGAGAAACTGTTTCGATAATCCTGGAAATTTAACATGGGTCTGTACAGAGTCCAGGTAGGGACAAAAAACATATGTTGCCTTTTTTAACATACGAAAATTCCACAAATATTTCTATACACTTGGATAATTTGTTTGTTGCCATTGGCAGCGTTGAAATGAGTAACAAAATAGCGGATTTTACGAGGAATCAAGGGGAGTTTTTTTTTTTTATCAAACCCGCTGGCTCTTCTGCTGTTTCTTGTGTTGCTGTTGGCGGACAGTATCTTGGAGAGATTTCTGCTCGTGATGTAACACCGAAATCCACCATCTAAGAAGTAAGTAAATCTACCCATGTAAGAGGCCGTGAAGGTCCATAGGGTTGCGAGATGTTGAGGCTCCCACATTACCTAGACAGGCAGCCTTACGCGCCGGCCGCGCTTTAATCCCCACGAAAATTATTTAATTAATTCCTGGTACTCATTTCAGTTAGAGGCTGAGTCAACCCTAGGTTCATAGTGCGACTGGAAGGATTATATCAACTGAAAAAAAAATCCAATGACCTCATCGGGGCTTGAACCAGCGATCTTCCGGCTTATAGCATAACCCCTCAACCAACTAATCAACCATCTACCATATTTTAAACAGTCTGGGGAAACGGAAAATATGCATGATATACTTGTGAAAGGCCGTAAACGTAACGAAAATATCTGTGTAAAAGAAGTTGTCGGTGCAAGCAAGGGAGGCAATTAAAATAACGCAAAGGAAAGAAAATGTCATGGGACTACCAGAACAGCAGATTGGGTTCTCAACAAACACTGCATGGAAAATTTGTCTCTGCAACTTGTTATTTCTGTACAAAATGCAACTGATAATCATTTTTGAAAGGCGGAATAGTGATAAATTAAATCGTAACAGTTGCTGCTAATCGAACTTCAATTCATTTGATTTTCATCCTCCAAATAATCTTCCCAGTATCCTCTCAAAATCTGACCATCAACCTTTGAACCACTCTCTATAATCTGAGTTACTGTAATTGTCGTTAAATAAACTATAAATAAATAAATAGATAAAACCGATATGAATTGCGATCATCACAAGAAATAAAAAAGAACAGCCTCTTGAGTCGTGCTATAATGAGCATGAATGAAGAGAGACTTTCACGTTTTGCAATCTGGTCGATAGTAATCGAAACAGGAGCAAGTCACAAAAGGAAAATTGATCAGTTTCAATAAATTCTCACACACCTGCATGCAGCTGAAGAGGAAGAAGCAGCCGGTCAAGGGTCAGTGACTACAGTTCTGCGCTGCTTGTTTCATTGTTGCTTGTGTAAATTATACCAAGAAGTGACATTTTCAGCATAAAATTATATTATATCACGAGGATCTACTACGCCATATTATTATTACTCTTATTACGAATATAATTTTTACTATCGGACGGACGCAGTAGCATAGTTGGTTGAGGTAGTAGGCTACAAGCCGGAAGTTCGCGGGTTCGAATCCCGATGAAGTGGATTTATTTTCAATTGACCTAATCCTTCCAGCCGCATTATGGTTCTGGGGTTGACTCAGCTTCAAACAGAAATGAGTACCAGGAATCTTCTTTGAGTGTATAAGGCGGCCGGTGGTTAAGGCTGACAGTGTGACGGCCAGCTGTTAGACGAATGTCTAGAGAAAATGTGGGAGCCTCGACGTCTCACAAGCCTATGGGCCACCACGGCCTGTTATAGGAACAGCTTTACCTTTTTCTTTTAGTATTAGTTCCGTTCCTCACCCCCATATAACTCCATGATTGTCACAGACTGAATTTTTATAATAGCCGAAATGATAGAAGCTACTTTGTTCATTTTATTTGTTTGTGTTTGTCTGTCTGTTTCTCCTCTTCTCGTGTTTACTCACAACTGGCCTTCCTGTTGTTGAGTAAGCATGTAAATAAAGAAATAATTAAATATACCCAAACTGACGTTGAATTTGCTGATGATCTTAAAGAGTGCTTAAACCTTACACCACCTAGCGACTCTATGCGTCTGCAATGGAATGTTTGATTTGTTCGTGACTGACCTTCAACTAATATCAGGAAGTTTAATTTTAGTAGACTTAAATCTCAATAGAGACCGAGCATTTTAAATTAGCAGCATAATCTTCTAAATCTTCTTATATCGCGAAGCGATTTTATTAAGGATCTGGCTGAGAATGTTGATCGTAAACTTCGTTTTCATGTTTATCTTCAATTTATTCGCATGCAATAAAATCGCGAGGGGTAATTCGCGCTGTCACATTTTCGTTTTCCACCACAGACAGCTCACTACTTCTGTATTATCTCGGTCGGTTCTAAGCTTGAGTATGCTTCAGTTGTATGGACTTTTTTTTTTACAATTTTAGGTTCCAATAAAATTGAGCACATAAAAATATTCATTATCATTATGATACTTTATTAAAAACTAATTTACAGAAACAGCGTACCAGTTGTCGTCATTCCGTTTTTAACAAATATTTTAATGGAGCTAAATGCTGACTCCCCTTTCTTGTAACAGTCGGTATTGTCACGTGTACGGTGGTACGCGTGCCAAGAATGACGGGTTCCAGCTCGGATCATTGGATTTATTAACACCTTGGTTACAACCTCTCTTAATTACACTCAAATACAGGCAATACAGCGCTCTCACTGATTTACACGCTTTACATCTCACCGCTGCATACGCACTGGGATTCCCAGACTTCACTAGCCTTCTCACGGCAACGGATCTCAACACAGAAACTATAACAGTCTCACAGGATCACACACTCCAAATATTACAAACAAATTAAGTCTTCAGATCACACGTCAAGTCTTCACATGTCGACCTCCTGTACTCTCCTGTACTCCCAGTTTCAATTCGATCCTACAGCTTACGACTGAATTCTGTCACTGTCACTTGAAAAGTAAAACCTGTTGAAAGTCAAAGTCAAAGTCATATTGCGAGTGACGGTCAGTCACTCAGTAATTCTTGGATTCGAGCCCCATCTGGGGCTCATGAGCAGATATTTATTGCTGTCTGACAGTTACGGCCTTTTTTTTTTGCGGGGAGCCCTCTCCGACGAGAGGACGGATGTCATTTGTACATGCTGCTGGCCCTTTCCAGCGCAGCCTTTCTTAGGTCCAATTCCCTTGGGACTCGCGACCATATTTCACTGTCTCAGATTTGAGACTTCCATTTTCGTCACCTCCTACGACTCGCAGGGTCACTGTAGAGGTAATCGACCCAGCCTCCACAAGGGCTACTTTATGGAGCCTCCGCACCGACCACGCAGAAAACACAGCATCTATTGTTGAAACGTGTTTACCGAACGATTGCATAGCAACTGTTACGATACGGACCTCATAGAAAGTCAGTCACGTGATAGCTACCTCGCCAGTCCATTGGAGCGCTGACTGTTGCCTAGCAACTAGCTATTAACATTCGACATACTGTTGAATACGCTTACGCGAGCTGTTTATCGGGCCGTTGCCTGGCTATATATGTTGCATTATTTTTCCCCTGCTCGAAACACGCGTAATTTCTGTACGTTCAGTTGCCACTACAGTCACTGCCTTTGAGGTGTATATGCGCTTCTGCTCCTAATGCAGTTTATAAATCAAGAAATATTTTACATATATTTAAATAATTTAACATAATTTAACTTTTTTATTTGTTTCTCTTGCATTTTTTCATGTGTTTGTTTATGTTATTGTCGTTTTTCATTCATGTTTATTCCTTAATTTGTCCCTGGCTGTTAAGCTAAGCACGGAAATAAATAAATAATTTAATTAAATTATTGCCTTTTGTCAATAAGGTGTATCATATTCAAATGCAATATTTGTTTCCTATATTCTTCCGTTTGTTTCACAACAATTTCTCATCTGTGTAGAGTGGTATACCAAATGCACAAGTATTTCTTCTTGTTATCCTACGAACACTATTAGAGCCTTAAGCCAAAGTACAGTCAAAGTTACAAGCACGATGCATAGGTATTAAGCCAGAAATAACTACCTTATTGGCATAAGAGGGACATGAGGTAGCGTAGTTGGTTGAGGCACTATGCTATAAGCTGGAAGGTCGCGGGTTCGAGTCCCGATTAGGTGGAATTTTTCAATTGGCCTAATCCTTCCAGCTGCACTATTGCCCTGAGGTCGACTCAGCCTCTAACAGAAATGAGTACCAGGAATCTTCGTGGGGATAAAGGGCGGCCGGCGCGTGAGACTGACAGTCTGTGACATCTGACAGACATCTGTGAGTCGATTGTCTAGAGAAAATGTGAGAGCCTTGACATCTCACAACCCTATGGGCCTCCACGGTCAGCTACAGCGATAACTTTATCTTCTCGCATTTTATTAGCATAAGCGTCTTTAACCTCTTTATATCTTTTGTAATGACTTCTTGATCTAGCAGCTTTTATCGAGGGCCGAAGATGTAGATCCGATTGAGATGACGACAGTGAGCAATGATTTGAAAATGATATGGAAAGTTGTATCCATGGCCTATAATAAGATAATATTTTGGATTTTTCTAGTAAGACTGTGAAATAAATTGAACAGATTTTATTCAGAACAGAGAGCACACGGCAGGAAATCTACATTATGGAAAATAAGTGTAATACACTGAACGGCAACATTCTATAGTTCACGTCTCGATAAAACTGAACGGCAACATTCTATAGTTCACGTCTCGATAAAACTGAACCGCAATATTCGATAGTTCACGTCTCGATAAAACTGAACCGCAACATTCGATACTTGATGTCTCGATAAAAATGAACCGCAACATTTGATGGCCATGTCTCGTTATGGCGCAGCAGTGCTTGTTTGTGAGGATCGTTGTCCACATGCAGTTAATTTTCGACAATTCCAGTAATGACAGTCTGTATTGTCGAATGACTGGATGGTAGGGAATTGGCAATTCATCCGGAAGAACATATTCGTGACACTGCTTACAAAGACTGAGGGAAACAACGAAATACTTCAGTCAGGAAAGACTGGATACCGGCCGAGATTCGAGTGGAATATCTCCCGAATATAAGTCATAAGCGTTAGGATAATGTCGTTTTTCCAAAAACACATCTGTATATATATATATATATAAGATGGCTTATAGCTATCTACGAGGGAGAGTCAGTAAATAGGTCACAAATGGAAGTAAAACAACTCTAATGAAAGTAATAGGTTTTGTATGTCTATCACTAGGTAGCAGCACAGTTCGGCTTCATGAGAGTTTAAGTGAGAGCTGGTTTTAGTAGTTAAAATGACGACAGTGCTTGGGGAGTATATTACCGAAGAACTGATTTTGTTGTGCGTTTTCTGTGGGCAAAAGGACTCAATGCAAAAGATATTTATGAAGAATATTACACCTGTAAAATATTTGTCGGATAAAGCGGCTGAAAACTGGGTAGAGAAATTGTCATATTGGTGGCAAATATTTCGCTGTTGAAGAGGTTGAAACGGAGGTGCGGAAGTGACTGAGATATATATGCTGCACGTTTCGACGAACTGGTAAAAAGATGGGACAAATGTATCAATGTTGGCGGAGGATATGTCGAGAAATAAAAGTTTCTTCAGTATTGATTATCACATGTTTTACGTCTTTATCCAATTGTGACCTATTTACCGACTCTCTCTCTTACATTTATCCATACTTCCCACACCACAGAATTTTTCACGAACTTAAAAAGTAACTGGTCTGTGTTCGAAACTGTTTTATTTGAATTATAAAGCTGTAACTTGATTCAGTGTTTAAGCTAGAAAATAATGAATGACATAAAGACAAGGAAGAGGATGACAGAAATAAAAAAGCGGGAATAGCAAACATAAGAAAAATTACTCATCGCTAATTTTCAATTGGATTTCCCACCAGAACTGATATGTTAGCGAATAAATAAGACACTTACCTCCTTCAGGCTGTTTCAGCAGAAAGATATTTCCAAAAAAGGGAACTTGTTTTGGGCCAGGAATCATGTCTATTTTCGTGCAATCAGCCCTTCTGAATAGCCAGCTCCAGTTATAGAGAAACACGACATGAAACATTGCCACTACAAGGAAAACCACAGTTCCCACCGCAGTTAGCACCCAATCCAGCATCTTATTTCGTAGGATGTCGGCCTGAAACATTAAGCTACGTGTAGAATCACATGTACACTTGCTCATAAGAACACTTTGGAAAGACATATGTTCAATTTAAAATATAGCGTATTCTTTGGATAAAGCTTTTGTTTTTTTTTTTTTTTCAAGTTTCCTCATATGGTCGAAACGTTGTGTTCTTTTGTGTTATTTATAATACCGGAGTAAGGACTAAATCAGAAAACCCTGTATTCACGAATGACAATAAGAATATGTTGTTCCACTGATTAGACCGATATTTGATTTAATATAGAAATTACTTTTAAATTAATAAATAAATTGAACAGATATGAGAATGACAATATTCTGTTTGCGTACATTGTAAATGTATCCTATAAAACTACACGCAACATAACGCTACAATACATTTCAGTTCTCCTAAATGTACAGCAGAAAAATCTATCATGAAATAACGATGTTCTCTTAAGTAATGCAAATTGCATACCCTAAGAAGGTCTTCGAGAATTGTAAGCCGTGTCGGTATTGTTCCCTGCGCTCCCAGCGTCACACTAAACTTGATCTCAACCCAGCTGCTCTGTTCAATACATGTGACCTTGTAATAAGTGTGGTTAGTCAATTTACTCACAGAATTACAGTCAAGAACGCATAAGCAGGCTTATTAGGAAGCAAATATTGTTATAAAAGAAGTCGGGGAAAAAGTCGAAAGTAGTAAAGTCCATAAGCAGGAATGACCGCTTACTTGAAATGATATTTGAAAACTGAATTATTTTTTTGAAAAGCACATCTGACGCAGTATTTCAAGTTCAAAGCAAATAATCGCATATATTTAGTGTTCAAGATAGGCGCTCACACTTTGGAATTTTTCCTTCGTTTCGTCGAAAAGCGACCCACAAGTCATTATCAGTGCAATATTTATACTTAGAGTAACTTTTGTAGGATTTAGAATTACACTGACCTCGGCATCTTGTTTTCTCTGCTTAACAATAAACAAAGTAAATAATTAAACTACCCTTGTAACATATTTCCAGTATTCCTACTGAATAGTCCTTGAGAAACCAGTTTCAACATACTCCCAAAGGTCTGCTTTTGTTATTAGAGGGGCTGTTTTTATCCACAATTTCCCTTTCTCGTGTTTACTTAATGTCTTTTGTGCTTTCTGAGATTATACGCCGATAAACGGTAGAATAATGGGATGATGAGCAAGGGATATGAAAGGATTCAGTCATGATACAATTTAAGCTGATCTCCTAGCATTGAATTTTATTGACTGAGAAAAATGACGAGACAGCACAGTCGAAGTAGCGTCTCTTTGTGCCGAGATTTTAACCCTGGACCTCCAGCGTACAGAGTAAGAGCGTTAACAGGTAAGGTCCTGCAGAACCCTTTCATACCCACTGAAATATTTCTCGGACACTGAAACAACGTAAAAAATAATTCCCTTTCACAGATATTTGTGCGGAAGTTCTGTTCTCGGCCCTGAAATAGATATCTTCCCCGGTCATCCTATCATTCCACTATATACAGAATGATTCAAAGTATCAAACCCAAACTTTAGAAGGTTGTTTGAGAGATTTTTGGAACATAGATCGTAAATAAATTTTTGTCTTCTATACATTTTCCGAGATTTTATGTTTTGCCGCTTTTTAAGAACATGTAATAAATTTCCATTCATGTATACGTTACTTACTTACTTACTTACTTACTCATGGAGCTGAGCCCTTCTTGAAGAGCCGCCAATTCTGCAGCTACTCAAAAATTTCCCAGCATTTTATGGAACCCGAAGGTTCATTACCGTGTTCAAAAGAGCCCTCCACTGGTCCCTATCCTGAGCCAGATCCATTTTAATATTGTCATGATCATTTTACAGACGATAGGACTCTTTGGACGAGTGATCAGCTCGTCGCAAGCCCTCTACCTGAACACAGGACAACACATACACATACCAAACATCCGTGCCCGTTGTGGGATTCCAAACCACAATCCCAGCTTAAGAGCGAGCGAAGACAGTACATGCCCTAGACCGCTCGGCTACCGCGACCGGCACACAACAACTTAACAACATAAATAAAAGGGACAAAATTGTCACTATTAATATACTTAGGTCATGCCATATTCCTACATACGGTGCTTACTTACATACTCATTGAGCTGAGCCCTTCTGGAGGAGCCGCCAATTCTGCTGCTACTCAAGAAAATCCCAGCATTTTATGGAACACGAAGGTTCATTACCGTGTTCACAAGAGCCATCCACTGGTCCCTATCCTGAGCCAGATCAATCCAATCCATACCAACCCATCCTCCTACATACAGTATGCGCCAAAGATACAGTACTGAAATGAAAAGACGTCCTGTTGATACCACTGTCTATTCATGTGAAGGCCCCTTGCACGACAGAACCTTCTCACATCCTGAAGAAATGGGCCGATCACCATGTCCCTGTAGCTTCTTGGGTGACGGTAAGAGCATTGTCTTCCTCATCCTCAGTGAAATAGGGGCCTAATATACCGTGTGCTGAGACGGCACACCATACCGTATACCGTATACTATGAAGCGCTTTCTGGACGATAACATCTGGCCGCTCAAAGCCAAGGAAGCGAGTTGTCTGGCGACCACTTCTGTATGAGCAGAAATAATACTCAACTATGAATAGTTTTTCCTCCTTCGAGAGATCCATTTCCAACAACAACTGCACAACACGACTTCCTTTTCAATACTGGGAACACGTGCGGCTGGAGCTATGCCCCATCGACAAAAGCACATGCGCGTTCGAGGTGCGCGAGTTTCAGTACTGAATCTTATGGAGCATACTGTACTTCAGTGCTTATAGATCATGTCAGATGGATTCAAAATAAAGAGATAAGAAGTGACTGAATTTTTAAGTTAACTTTAAAATAAATTATAAGAATGAATCTATTTTTCACATTAAGCTGTGTGATGTAATTTAATATTAAGAACGTTAATAATCGTTTAATCTGGAGATGATAGTACATGTGGTTGCGTACGCATAACATTAGGATATATATACTATAACACACAATTATGCAATATACTTCTTCTAGTGAGCTCGTAAAATTATATCTACAAGTGTAATGATCAATACTTTTCATTCTTTTCTTCTGCTTCTTTCAGGATCGAGGCCAACTAACATGACGCTGTTGCTGTCTGGGAAATCCTGGTAGTATTTGTAAGTTTACTTCTTCCTACACGCAATTCAGTACACTCAAACCAATATTAGCGTCTATATAAATGCAAATGATTTGAGGAGAGAGCATGTCGCGATGAGCTGTTAGCACCACCGGGCAACACATTATCACGCCTTTGCTATCTTCAGCTGGGAACTTCGTCTCCCTCACGGGCATTTACAGGGTAAGGGAACCTAGTTCAAAGTGGTCCCAGTAATCACTGGCCGGTCGCCCCGCCTGTCCGGTATCGGTTCATTCTGCTCAGAGACTTGACCTCAGCAACTGACGTTTCTGTAATAGTGGTTAAATTCGACACTTTCGTTCCCAACTTACGAGTTACGTACAAAAATGAATTACATGATACACAGTGCTCTGAGACAACTGAAATTTATTCGCCTAGAACGCCCCTGTAGTCAAGTGGTTAGAGCTTCTGGCTAGAGATCCAGAGGTCCCAAGTTCGATTTCCGGCGCTACAAGATTTTATGAGAAGTAGTGGGTCTGGAACGGAGTTCACTCAGCCTTGTGAGCATAATTGAGGAGTTAATTGATTGGAAATGTAGCAGTTCCGGTCTAGAAAACCGAAATTAAAGGCTGTGGGGATCTTTGAGCTGACCACGCGACACGCTCTATTCGCTAAAGGTGGCACTAACTTCGCCGACAAGCGGCGGTCGTTCAGTCGGTATAGTTCGCTTGCGGACTAAAACCACGGAGGTTTTGTTGCTTGTTGACCTGAACTTTTGTCTCGAACAGAAAACGCACAAAACAATATTTACGATGGTCCATCACTGTACATCCCAATATAGTTTAAAACAACAAACGGCTTCAAAATATATTCCTCTGAGTCCTATATTAATTGCTCTCATGCTGTGATTATTTGCCCTAATTTAGAATAAAGACGTATAACCAAATCTAACCTTACTTTGTCTGACCTCGTCTAACATAATCTAAGCTAGTACATAAGAGGATGTTTTATATCGTATCTTTGTAGTTCATAAATTGCTAATATTTTTCTCCCTCGAATTGTAAATCTGCAAAGTGACCCTTAACTTCAAAGTATATTTGTTGACATTTGTATCATTGCGTTCATCATTATTTAACGCCCTATACATATCCGACCCGTCATGTGTTCTTCATATAGGCTATAGATTTTTCCCTTGCTCATTGATTTAATTTCTCTTGCGCCCACAGTCACTAGAATCGCCTTGTTCTCATATATATTTCACCTGCATTCTTTCTCAAAGGAGCAGCAAATTTCAGATCCATATATCATAAATATATTTTTTTGGTTATAAAAGGATTTATTTCTCGCAATTATACAAATTAAGAATGTCGAAGCGTGTGCACATTTCCTGTCGCTCAGAGAAGCGAGTCTTTTTGGAACAGCTCTCATAACCCCCCCCCCCGCCGTTGTGTCTATGTATGTTACTATATTTCATTCTTTCATTTAGGCCTGACTAAATTGGATACTCTCGCCGTTTCCCGGCTCCATCATCTTATTGGTTTGACTCTTTGTCATGGATGTTTCAACGTCCTCCTGCAACCCTACCTCCTCTAGCTGCACATGCGCATGTCACATTGTAATAACATTTGTTTCTGCTCTCTGTACTCTTAATAGCGATCAAAGAAATCTCGTTATGTGCAGTTGATATTTCGCATTTTATTAGATGATATGTTTTTCTTAATCGAGTTTCGTGTTCACCGCTTCTATTTTCTTATATTTCATCTCCAGTGAGTTTAATATTTTCATATATAGCCTTCATCAAGTTTAATGTTTTCACATTTCAAACATGTACTGCGCTGTCCAGCACTAGCTTTTGATATAGACATTAAAAAATAAAATATATTTGAGGTTCTCAAGACGATGGGTACGGAAACTACTGCTTTCTGTGTGTGAGGATGTCAAGATCGACGTTTCGTTTGGATGTATTGCTCCTATCTCCAGAACCGAAGAGTGGTACCAGCAAAGAGAGTACTTGAAAATGGAAGCAGTACATGACCTGAAAAGTCGGCTTTATTCTATCAGATGACGTATTTCAGAGAATATTACTCTTCAAAATAAAACGCATCCCTGTTGCTGTCTTCCATGCTCTAACAGATCATAGTTCTAAACCTACCCACCTATCCCGAGTGCACGGTGTCATAACCACGACACCATTGCCGTGATAAAAGTAAATCTTACGCGATAAACAAGGACTTCAAAACATAATTCTTAAAGCTCACTTTCCTATCGCATTGTTATCTATTCCTACAGCTCTCACAGTATTGTGGTGTGTGCATTGCAACGGCTACGAAAGAGGCGAATAAACAATGGCCGTTCCTAGGCAACGGCTCAGTAAACACGTTCCCGCGACAATGAATAGACAAGCAACAATATAAGAACGGTGTTTTCTATGTGGTCCGTGTCGAGAAGTTCTAACCAGGACAGCTGGAGTTTAACTTTGACAATCAGTTAAGTTATGCAAGGGAAAATGATAAAGAGATTGCGCTATATTTCAGTTAACAGTTCAGTTTTGGGGTATTCTTCAGACAGTAACGACGTGAGCAAAGAAGCTGAAGGATCTCCATTGTTGAGAGCTGTTACCAAGCAACGACTAGTGAAGACACTGCAGGCTGGAGAAAACTTAATGTGTAGTGATTTGTAAAGTGTGGAAATCAGCGATAGTGTTATAGTTATTTATAATTACGATCTGTAATCGGCTAACATATTCACCAAACCATACCCCGCCTACAGGCCCACATAAATCGTGATAGTATTGCTACTGTTATTGGTGTTTCGTGTTATTTTATATTATTTTTTTTAGTAGAACTTCTTACTCATATACCCGTCCTGTATACCTTAAAATTGTAGCATGTATCATCTAGAATTCTCACTCTTGCTTTGTTCGTAAACCCTGACTTACAAATAATATTTCACACGTGTTACATGCCTATCGACATTTTGACATTTTAGAAAATACTGAACATCATATCTCGAGCTCTAGTGGTTTGTTAGTTATTGCCATCAAATCTTTCAGCAAAAAAAAAAAAAAATATTTTCATGTCTCTATTTTATTTCACAGCTTGCTAATGAATTACTTAAAAGAAAGCTGGATAATTTTCAATGTATAATGCCGTATAAAAGATTCAGGACTCTGAATTAAGCGCCACTTGCTAATATCCCTCTCACCACAGGAGTTCGCTCCCCACAAGCTAAAAGTTAAAAAAGACATGATTGTGGGGTGGCTTCAAGAGAACAAATTCCGTATAAAGTTCCATGAAAATCAGTGAACTAGTTACGAAATTGAAATGAGGTGACCCAAACACACAGAATCCATGGCGATATCATAACACTACTTCCTCACGGAAAGAAAGTAGGTGAAAATGTGAATATTTGATTGGACTTTTAAAATACTTATTTATCTGGATAACGTATGGAAGTTAGTAAGTCCTACATTCAAAAATAAAAATAAGTCAAAACCGTAAAACCCTGAATATACTGAAGGATTTCATTTGAAAAACCCATGTAATACAAATTATGTAACCTTTACAATTTTAATTATTTGCTCTACGGGACAATTTCCTGTGCTGCTCAGTGTCTATAGCGTTACTACTGAATTGGAATAGCAAACCAAGTAAGCAAGTGCAATGTACTCAAAAGTGAACGTCATGAATCGTCTTGTGTTACCCCGGAGGGGAAAAAATATTGTCCTTAAATTTGTGATGACGTAAGTTTCCACTACCTCTAATTCGTCTGACGTAAGCTCAACATTTGTCAGTGTTTACAATTTTAACAAAATATCTCATACAGATTTGTACATACGGTCTTCATAGTACCACAGTTAATAAGTTCGTGGACTTGCCGCAAAGCGTCGTTGCAGTGCACTACAGCGGATAGGTTGGGACACGATATGATGCCCTGTCGTTTCGTCTCTCGTCACAGCAAGAGGCAGTTGTGTGCAAACAGTGTAAGCAGAACTACGGCCTCTATTATGAACTGCAGTTAAATTCAAGAGGCGGAAATTGAAAATGTGGCAGTTTGAACAAAGTGCAAACATCAAGTTCTGCCAAAAACTATGCAAATCCCGTAGCGAAACATTTGGCATAGGAAGAATTGGCTGTTGCTACACGACAACGCCCCTGCACATCGCTCTGTTCTTGTCCAAGAGGAACTGACCAGGCAACAGGTCACCGTTTTGCCATACCCTCCGTACTCACCTGATCTCGCACCGTGCGATTTCTTTCTGTTTCACCGCTTGAAAGCAAAGCTACGTGGTCGTAGATTCCAGTCATCCCAGGAGGTCGTCAATGTCACAAGAGATGCCGTACGGGAAGTTCCTGCCAATATGTTTCAGCAATGTTTTCGGCCGCTATATCAACGTTGGCAGACTTGCATAGCAGCCAACGGCAACTATTTTGAGGGCCGATGTGGATCTGTGTAAGTGTATGTGAATACCTTGTAATATGATGCGATAAAACCACATTCCACGAACTTAATGACTGTACCATGCATTAAATTTTAAATGCCCGGCTGAAATTTTAATTACCTATGGCTCTCAGAGAACAGTTTTCATGCGATCCATGTATTGTTACTTTACGTTGAACAGACTGTTAATTACTTGCTTACTAACGAACTCTTGGCTTTGAGAAACTCATCTCTTGCAACAGATGCCCATTCTCCTAAATAATTTGCCTTTTGACTTCCAGCTTCAGGATATCAGTCCCTTCGTCGCTGAATTTGGGGGTTGTCACAGCGGTGGTTATGAGGACCTCCATCGTCTGGGATATCATGTATTCCGGTGTAAGTCAGATGACTTTTCGGAGGAGAATTTCGCTCTATCTTAAGAGCTGAATAGGTCCAGCTTTCTCCTTTTAACATCTGATACCACATCAAGGAGTTTATATAATTTTCGCAATTTTTTGTTAGTTAGTCCAAAGACTTTGTTCCGTTTCTGGGCAATAAAATTTTTCTCAAAATTTCCCTTATCAATTAAAGCTTAAAAAAGGTAAACCTGTTCCTGTGCTTATACTTAAGCACTACGCCATGTAGTGTAAGGGGAAGTGGATGTATAGATCCATATTTTCTTAACCTCAGCACTAGCTGGAGATGAGTGGTCAGCTTCACACCCCTGCCGCTTTACCCGGGTGAAAGATCCCCGGTGCCCATTTGATAGGAGGTTGGGTAGACCCCAGAGCCGGTCTGGACGATTTGGAGAAGAGAAAATTATTGACTCTACCGGGACTAGAACTCCGACCCCTCAGTCGTCCAGCCCATAGCCAGTCGCTATAGCGACTACGCTACCCCGGCTCCTTTTTTCGGTCTCAATTATATAACATAAGTTTATCCTTATCATGCTTCAACAAAATATTACTTTCACAAACATGTTACATGTCCTATATTGTATCATCAAACACTGCAAAACACTAGGTAAATGAACATACACACACTCCGTGGCCTGTAGTCTGCAAGCGAACTGTACCGTCCGAGCGACCGCCGCTTGTCGGCGAAGTTAGTGCCAACTTTAACGGATAGATGGCGTCACGTGGTCACGGCCGTTATCTCGGTTTTCTAAACAGGAGCCGCTATTTCCTTGAAATAGGTCCTCAATTATCCTCACGAGGATGAGTGGACCCCGTTCCAGACCCACTATTTCTCAAGAAAATGTGGTAGAGCCGGAAATCACACCCGGACCTCTGGATCTGTAGCCAGGAACTCTGACCACTAGACCACAGAGGCGGTCAGGTAACTGAAGCGCGTCACAATATAAATTCTTCCTATAATGCAAAGCAGGATAGAGTGAGATGAATATTATTCAAATTCTTCCTGCACTCAGCATGATGTAAATTGGAGATAAGTCAGGTCTGACGGGGGTGCAGTGACACATTCGGCCCCTGTATTTCTGAACCCCAACTTCTGTTTCAGTCCTTTCACATCAAATCTGCATTGAACTGTCTTGCTAAGTATCATTCTCACGATTGCATAACGAACTGTGAGGAACAATTTAACAATCTGTGAAATAATACAATAATTAGACTCATGTGATAACACATCTAAAGACTTTGCTATATTTTTAATGCTCTTAGGAAGATCAATATCTTTTAATTGAAAATATATATAATTTTTATAATTTTCGGTTAACCAACTAATTTCGTAGAGTTCTTCTTGAGAAACTAACAGTCCATGATTAGTGAAGACATTTCCCTTTCCGTGGATTACAAATGTTCGTTATCATTGTCGTAAAGTCCGATTTGGTCACCTTTCCTGGGTCACACGAATCTAGTCTACACCCGTCCTACCATCAACACATTTCGTTAAAATCCATCTTAAAGTTAAGCTCCCACCGCCATCTGAGTTTTGGATATTTTCCATCAGGTTTTTGAGATCAGATTTTTTTAGGCATACTTCATCTCGCCAATGAGTGCTAGATGCCCAACCAATCTTTTCATCTTTCATTTTATAAACCAAATTTTATTTATTTAAAAGTATAAATACTTTAAGTTCCTCTTTATGTAATATTTTTCAGCACCCTTCACTTCCTCCATCTTTCTTCCAAATATATTGCTCGTGTTGTTTTATTCTTACCATAAGTTGTAGCTCAGAGACAGATGCACTAGTTGGGCCCTCATTTTCCTTTATTCTGCTTAAAACCTCATCTTCCATCTCTTAAAAAAGTGTTTTCTAATGTTAGTCCTACATGAACTGAAAATAAAATTCGGGCTCTATCTTGGCGTTATCTTAATTCTTAGGCCATGTTTCGGTCTGAGAATTAGTTCGAACATCACATCTATATTTTCTCTGTTGTCCAGGGATTCCAGTTTAAATTTCCTCAGAACGGACGATAATACAGTTTTCTCTTCCAGTACAGCAAACCGTTGCCCTGTCGATAAAGAAATGAATCTCTCTATAGCAGCTGTACCAACACTCATAATGCATAACTAGAAGACTATTATGTAAGATTTGAGGCTTTCACGGCGGTGACTATGAAGAAAGCAGTCTTCTGGGATTTGGCACCGTGTATATGTGGTGTTAACCGACGTTTCGGAGGAACGTATCGCCTCCATCTTCAGGGTAGAAGAAAAAATAATA